TTATCAAAGTTCTCCTCTGATCTGAAATGCCAAGCTACAGAGCAGTGGGAGACAGATGAATGAGCAATGCTTCTCTTGGCAGAGCTGCAGACTTAGAATGTTGGAAGTGGCATAAGAAGGAATGTTGTGGTGACATGTTATAAACAAATCAAGCAACCAGATCTGTCTCAGCTCTGAAAGAACAGGCCTTAGTGTGACTGGATAATATTTTTGAGATGTCTGATAGCAAGCCTGAAAGCTATCCAACAGACAGCTGGAAATGCCCTAGAGTCCAGAACAAGGTTAGATAGTATTTTTCCTAAAAAATTCAAGGCAGCAGCTTTAGTTTAAACTAGTGTTTGAAGTCTTGCTTCTCCCAGAAAAAAAAAAAAAATAGCTTAATCAAGAAAACTGGTAAGCAGATGGACTAACTGAGGTGTGAAAACTGAATTGGAATTAAGATTAGAATTAAAATTTAGATGTGGACTGTGGTAATCCGATAAATTGTGGGCTTTGTGAGACTGGCTGCAGGGAGCTGCCTTGTTGTGCTCTCCTACTTGATATACTGACTACAAGAAAGATAATTTGTACTGAAAAGGAGGGGATCACCTAGCTCAGCTAGTAATGCACTGATGTTCAGGAAAGAAAATCTTGTTTCGAGAAAGGGACACAATGTTCTTTGAGCATCTTTTACACAGAATGCAAGAACATTTCATCATGAAGCAGAGGATATCTGGGGAGAATGCTGCAGAGTATATCATGGTAGGCCTGGCAGAGTCTGGCTTACATGTAGGAAAGAGTCTACATTCCAGTGTTTAATGAAAAGATTCACTGCAGGGCCCCACAGAATATATATTTCATTTAATGTTGTAAGTGCTTCTTCATTAATGTGCCTTGTTCAGATTGAAGGAGTTTGCCAAGGCGACATGTGAGCTATCGGGTACAATGACACTGAACAGCACAGAGCTGTGACTTGAGAAGACAAAGTCTGCAAGAAACAGGAGGGTAATCAACACAAGGGGGGATGACAGATTTGTCAACACAGAGACAGAAAACTGCTGAGTCTGTCAGCATTTTAATGCTGTACTTGATATTCAAGCCTAAACAAGCAACTCTTTGTTAGTTCATACAATTTAAATCTTCCAGTGCACTTCTATGAGCTACCCTATATGACATCAGGGAGCTAACTTCCATGGAATAATAATTCTTTTTTAATTCAGCCCTAACTAAAGAGTATGTCTTGTCAAAATGATCAGTTAGAATTTGACAAGCAATGGTAGGGATTTTCTCCAGCAGTTTTCCTAATTGCTGCAACCCAGAAAAACTGAGGACATAGGAGAAACCATGAATTCCCAAATTACAAGTACGTAGACATGGAAGCCTCTGTTGCATGAAACAGAGACGTGAGTCTGAATTTAGCCTCACAGGAAATGTAATTATTCAGTATATAGAGACAGATACAGTTGAATTTCAACTTATTAAGGGCCAATTTTCTGGAAGACAACTAATAAGGAAACAATTGGAAAACAATGGAATCAAGCACATAATCACATGAATTAATGAATTGTTACCCTAAACTTTGTCCTAGGCCAAATTTAAGCATGAAGATCTGATTTTGAAAGCTGTTGAGCAATGTACCATAAGGAGTTCTATGTTACTTTGTTTCTAGGAATATAAGGGATGGATATATTGAGAGAGAGAGAGAGATCCATTTGTATCTTATACATAAAGGCTAATGTGAGCTGTGATTGATGTCTTTAGCTGTGAGTTACTGTTTATAAATGAAGTGCTGATGTCCAGGTGCTTCTCACTCTTGCCATAACTTGATACACTGCTGGATTACATTCCTCTGAATTGGTTAATGTTTCACTCCTCACTGTACAAGAAAGTACAACGCACCAAATTTCAATGGTGTGTGCCCTTGCCGCGAGAAGGATTCCCTCTCAGTACATACACACTGGAGAGAAATATTTTTAAGGGGTAAGAAAATCCTTTGTATAATAAGGAGGAAATCTTTAGAAAATGTGCCTTAAAGGTGGCTTTTCAGAGAGCATTGCAAAAAAATGCTGATATGTTTATAATAATTTTGCTAATATAATTCCTGAGTAAAGTAACTGAGGTAAATCATTTCAAGCTTTGTATAAGAGGGACGGCTTTGAAGCTATTAAAAAAACTCGCCCTTTTTGAAAGTCTTTAGATTGACATGAAGCTTAATCAAGACAGTTAAAATACATAACTGGAAGAAAATAAAGTATCTATCTTTTGATGTTGAGAGGTAGCATTTAATCTTAGGACTTGAAACATTATCAGTCTCTCAGAGGTCTTTCAATTCATTCCAACATTCCTGTTGCATCTTGAAGTAAGGAAATTTTATTGTTAACTCACAAACTAGAGTTTCAGAACTTCAGAGCCCTTTTCCATAGTCTGTTGTGAGCAGTCATGTGCTGACAACAACTTTTAAATACATTTATTTGGTAATACCGGTTTCCAGTAAAGCTACTTCATCCTTTGGAAGGTGGCTTGACATCCATAAGAAATCAAAGAGCCATTTTCAGCCAAACAGACTCCAAAGACTTTAAAGTTCAGGTCTATGTGCATATTGCACACCATACCCTAAATTCTACTGTAGAAACATCATGCTGGCAATGCTATTATATTCAAATTACATGACCCAGCACACATAAAAAACACTCCAAACGTAAAATAATGGTCATTCATTGAGGACACCATGGCAAGGTTTTCAAGCTGAGCCATGGCATTATTCTGATCTAGCAGTGTTGCTGTGCATTCTTAAATAAGGACACTCTCCACTGCTTTTGGCAATGCTGCACCATTTTCAGCTGTATGATATCATTATGCCCAGTGTCACGGGAGGCTTTTATCAATAATTTATTAATTATACAGAACCTTTTTCTACTGTAAACATATTTAGTTAAAGATTGTTTCCATCTGTTCAACTTTTCTGTCTCAGGTCCAGGAAACTTTTAGGAAGTGTACTCAACGGAATTACACATGGAATTCCCTAAGACTCAGCATTGTCAGTGGAGCCACTATAAGCTAGCAGGGCAGACTGAACTTCAGTCGTCTGAAACACTGAGGTTTCAAAGACGCATGTTAATCACATCAATTCTGTTGCTTTCCTGTGAGTCACCAGGTTTTCTTTAGCTAAGAAATATCTATGACAAAAAGAAAAATCAGGAAGTGCCATTTGTTTTCTCCACTTACCCTTTTTGACCTCATTCTACCAACTATACGTCCATGCATACTTCATGTTTGCAGAGATAAAAAAAGATAAAACCTTGAAAGAATTTCCCTGGTGTGGTACTCCACTTACTAGCAGAGAAGCATAATACTTCTAGAGCTCTGCTTGTATGATTTCTTCTGCATACATCCTCTGTTCACAGGAAAAACGCAGAACTTGATAAGTTCTGATAGAAGACTTTTTCTTTTTTTCCCTAGCTGTACAGTTATATTTAGCACATGCAGGCCTAAATCTTTTGAAAATAAATATTCTGAAAAGCTCTAACTTCAGGGCTTTTAAGAGGTATCCTGTTTGTGAAGTACAGAAGAAACAGGTAAGTGATGGGGAAGCTCAAGCAGAACAGAGGATTCTGTCACTGATGTGCACATTATACAGGTATAGAAGACAGAGATTAATACTTTATTGTTGGGGGTAGGTATAGCTTTGTGGAGATTCAGGCGTATTCTTAAAGCAGCAAAGCAAATGGGCCAGAGAGGCACCTGATGCACATTCTTATGGCTGCACTCTTTTAAGACATGGATGGCTGTGTACAAGCAGAGAAGAAGGCATTCTCAGTTCCCCAGAAAAACCTACTACTTCTCCAAATTTTTTCCCCTTTCAGACAGTGAGAACTCTGTGCCTGAGACAGTGGCTGTGGATGCCAGGAGTCAGTGGGATACGAGGAACAAACTCCCTGAGACTCTGACAGAAGCTCATGAGAATCAGTTTCTGCACCATGCAGAAAGTTGCTTATCAGTTCTGCCTCTTGATTTCAATGTCCACTAACCTGCTTGTAACTAATCTTGTGGACTGGATGATGTATGGACCATGCTGTTTCCCTACCTGCTTTGGGGTTGATGTATTCAAACCCTCCCAGACTTAACATTTTATGAATCAATATTCCTGAATAATTATGGAGGGCTCCGTTGTGCTGGTGCAGGATAGTTTCATGTTACACTTACATGAGAATCAAGGTCCTGCTGACCTCCTTAAAAAAAAAAAACCTGTCACCTTTTGAAATTCCAGTTGTTTCTGAAAATCTGCAATTAGCAAGTATGTGTTCCATATTTTAAGACAACAGAACTGTCTGTACTTGTCTTACAAGTTTCCTCTTAGGGTGAGCATAAGTTTGTATCTCTTCTGCTTGAAGAAATACACTGACAACATTTTGGAGAACCGATTGTTCTGACTCTCCTGAGGCTAATTTAGAATAGCGCTGTATGAACGTAACACCTTACTAGAGGAACAAAAAACAATGCTTTACCACGTTTGGGTGCTGAAGTAGAACTGCTAACATGCTTTCCAGTCCTGTTGGTTTTGGGGGTTTTTTGGTGCACGTGCAGCTTTTGGTACCAACCACTGGGATACAGGAACTGTTTCTAATGAGCTCTCCAGAGATTTCTTGGACTCTGAGCGTCCTTCAGTTATTCAGTAATGTCCTATAGACTTTTCATTTTTCTGTTACTGATCTTTCTCATTACTTCTGAGTGCTGTAGAGTTGGGAACTGCCTGGACAGCCCAGTGCAGTGCTAAGGAAAGATCAATTAGCTTCAATCCTTCCTGTGCAGACTTGGATATCGCTTCATGGCAGAACTTTGTGTCCTTTATATGTACCCAGATATACACATCCCTGTTGCCTAGATGTATAGTGGTATGTATACCGCTACATAGTTGCAAACACTGCTGTCTCCACTGTCCCCTTAGTAGAACATTGAATATTATAGTGAAGGTAGGAGACGATGTCACCAAAACAAATGTTCCCCTTTATTTTTCCTTCTAGATTAATACAGCAGATAATTTTACCAACTGCGAGGAGAAAGCAGAAGATGATGATACTTACATGTTTATGCTAGGCTCGAAAACTCAACCAGCCATGAGTAAGTCATGTTGTTAGCTTTATTGGTAACAAAGCGTGTGCTGTATTGAGTGAGTGGGATGATGGACAAAGGGGGCAAATAATTTGAATGCGTTCAATTTCCACATGTTACTGCAACTTCCAGGGGGAGGGCAGATGAGGGATTCAGTCATGATAACAAAGTCATTGCTCAGTAAGACAGACCTCAGTGCAACCACCCCTCCTGGTAAATTCTGAAAACTTGTACTCTCTGCTCTGAATCTAAAAACCCACTGAATTCTCCAAGTTACCAGAGAGCAGCTTTAATGTAAGGGGAGGCACCTCTTACAGGTGCAGCCAACTCCTCTGTGGAGGCACACATGGTCGACATTTTGCAGCTTGATGTTCATATATCTAAGCATAGATTTATGACAACCTTGTTGGTAGTCATATGCTCTTGAGAACTGCAAACCAAGTTGCTTGTTTGCATTTATTGATGGTGTATATTTTGTTTATGTTTTATAGTATCGTGGATCTGTAAAGCTAAATTTAATCCTGTTTCTTTATTACCTGTGTGTTGGTAATTTTATCTTTTCAACTGTCTCATATTCTGTATGAAAATGATTTTTTTTTTTCTAATTTGCTAACTTTAAATCAGTTGCTTTAGCACATCTTAGGTAGGTGATAGACACTGTGAAAATGTGAGCTAGAAACCTGGTTACCCCGACACATTTTCACTGTCTCTGTCATGCTGTATATGGGAACACCTCAGGATGGACACATGGAAGAACACAGATTGCAACAGCTGGCCTAACCTCCCATTTGAATCAGTGGTGAAAGGCAGGCATCACTGAAGGATAACTCAGAATGGAAACCTCCTATCTCAAGGGCTTGGTATTACCTGCTATGCATTGAGTGTAAGTCTGCTGACACACTTGTATTGTTTACTCTGTTATGGTACTGAGGTCGGCTACCCCAATCTTGATGCTGTACATAATGATTAAAATGTATGCTTTCACATCCCTCCCCTATATTCTTATTCTGTGATCTGTGGGCCACTAAAGACAGAAGAGCACTATTTCCACAGGAGTACAGCCATGTCTGCCAGGGGCAATGTTTTAGAGAGATTTAAATAATGCCCAGACCCCATTATATTAAAAAAAAAAAAAAAAAGAAAAGTTAGAGGGCTGTGTGAGCTATGGCTTTATTTTATTGAGTGTTGCACTGTGCTGCATTGAAAGGCAAGTAATAGAAATTATGGAGGCAAGGTAAGTGTGTGTGACTTCACTCTGACAGCAACTCCAGAAAAGTTTAACACTGCATGCAGGAAGATGGTGTGTATCAGAGTAGCAAGGTACAATAAAAGCTTCCACTGTTGATTTGGTAAATATTTAAAATGCTGTTCACTGACAGTATGTATTTGACAGCTTTTCTATTGTATCAGTTCATAAAAGTTTTATTAGCCATTGTGTTGCTTCTGTGGGAATCCTCGAAACAGGAAATGTTTCCAGATGGCAAATTTTAAATGAAATAATGCATTCTTCTACATTAAAAGCCAAGCAGAACCCAGGAGATCAATATGGAATTGGATCCAGATGCCCACAAGAAGCTGAGGTGGATGATGACAAGGAAGATGATGTAGAAGACAGCAGAGAGGAGACAGAACATGAAGATCAGGAAGAAGATGATTCATACAGCTTTTGCAACAGTCCTGACAGTTTGTATGCCAGTATACCTGATGATCTTGAAGAGAACAGAAGAGACCACCTTTTCTGTAAGAGGCCACCCCCTCCTCCCCCTCGAAATCTGCCTGGCATCCTAAGACAGGACAATCTGCACAGTTTATCACAAGGTACGATATTAGGAGGAAAATAACCCCAGATACAAACACGTGCAAGTGCAGACTAGGTGCTGCTGTAGAGATCATGGATGATCACTTCTTCTAACAGCAGTAGCTAGGCAGTATGGCCCCAATTCTGCAAAGCAGGCATGTGCATATGAACTTTGCTGCATCAAGATATTCATGACCGGGTATGTCAGTTAATGCTGTGGTATGGGCTGCTGAGTTCAGGTTTTCCTCACGCTGTCCATCTTGGAGACCTGACAGATAATACACGATGCATTGGATTTACAAGAGAGGCTTGAAACAAAAGATTGAGCTTGTATTTTTGTCAAGTTGGCTTAAGCATTTACCATTTAAAAATACTAAATACTATCTTGATTTAGTACAGTTTGGAATTTCACAGGTAGAGTTAATAGAAAGTGACTGTGTGGAGAGAAATAATAGTAATTTATTACACTTTAGCCAATGTTGTGGTTAGAAGGCAAAAGTTATATTGTGTTGCAGATTGAAAAGAGAGAAACTGTGACCTTCCATGAAATGCTTTGCCTTTTTTTTTTCTTTATTCTTTGATACTTCTGCCCCAGATTGTAAATCTAAAATTTAGTATTGTAGTTTGATTCAAGTGATGAAAAGCCCAAAATAGTATTTGCATCCATTTCAGAAGAGATGATTATAATTTTTCTCATTGGGAAGAATAAGTATGCAAAACAATTCAAGCTTAAATACCAGTCTTAAAGAGTCACATAAGGAAAAAACCCTTCTTATTTGTCATGGACACTACGGATAAGTGTGCACACAAATTGCTTCTGTTTCTCCACTTAATGAACTCTGTTTTTAAATGTGGTATAACCTATTAGAGTCTTAAATTACCATCACCGAGCACTTTGAAGTTCACATAAGTAGATAGAAATCATTTTCTAGCCTTATAGCCTGCTCTAGGTTTTCTCCCAGTTTTCTGCTGTGAAAGAAAAAGCCAGCTATATGAAGGAAGTCATAGGTGGATTCTAAGAGAAAGAGGGTCAGAATAAGATTAATGTTAAAAAGATGCATTTTGCTTCCCATTAAATACTCAACTGCAGCTATAGGTGTTCATAAATTGAGGGGTCAGGCTTGGCATACAGGATTTGTAGGCGTATGTTTGATATAAATGACTCTTGGAATAGCTGTCACATGGCTGTACCATCATGTAGTAATATGAACCTCTCTGCCAAATGCTGGTTGTCTGTATGTGGGTTCCAGCAGAGAAAGCTTCTCAACTACCTAGTATCCTGTGCTGAATCCTGTGCTGGTAAGGCAGAGATTGTCTAAAAATGCTTCGGTGTGAATAGTTCAGGAAAATTCACATCATGTCTTAAATGAAGTGTTACCCTTGGTTTTATCATGGGGGAATGGAGGGTGGGGAGTATCAGAATTCCTCTGAATGAGGGTAATGCTTGCTTTCAAAGAGGAGTTCTAATGAGTCGTGCTATGTATTTTTAGTTAGTTGCTTGCTTTAGGTGTTGCTGTGGAATACACAAAAGACAAGTCCCCTCTTTCTTAAGTCTTTGTTTTGGCAGTGGCATGTCAGTGTCCCCTGTGGGAGTTAAAAGAAAGAATATCCTACAGAGGAAGAAACAGAACTTTTATGGTGACATGGAAACAAAATACTTCTCATATTAAATATGGCAGGTGTATTAATCCCACTTGTTGTTTTAAAACATTTTTATATCTTAGCCAGAATACATATTGATAGTACGTATTAATAATATGTCCCAGTTATAAATGACACATCCCATTTCTAAATGTGTCCCACTTGCAAAGATTGTTTAGCTCCTATGAAGCCATAAACAGATAAAACAGTTCTTTAAATAGCAGCCAAAGGATTGACTATGTAGTGACCAGTAGTGACCATGGCCTAGTTTAGCAGATCCACGTGTACAGGCAGTACATTACAACATGAGGGAAACGTGACTCAGTACAAGAATCCAAGGCAGGACTACTGTTTTTGGAGGAAAGATGGGCAATCAGCACAAGGAAGCTACAGATATTTACGGGAACACCAGCCTCAGTAAGAGCTTCTAGCTCTTAGCAGTTTATGGAGTTTTTAAAGACAAATCAAACCAAACCCAGGTATCAGGAAACTCATCCTGATGAGTTCCTATTAATGCTGTAAAATGTACAAGCTAAAGGAAAGCAAGTTCTGAGTAGTTGTATTAAGAACTATGAACTGTAGGGAGTACAGACTGTCAGGGAAGTAACTGAAGGAAAGGGGGGTAGGGTGGGGTAGATAGTCTTAGCATAGATTATAAGAGGCCATAAATCCCCCTAGCAATCCAGGAGACAGTGACCTGCTGCATCACACAGACACACACAAGTCTATGAGACCGGACGGGATACACCCGAGGGTGCTGAAGGAGCTGGCTGGGGTGCTCGCCAGGCCACTTTCCATCATTTACCAGCAGTCCTGGCTGACTGGGGGGGTCCCGGCAGATTGGAAATCAGCCAATGTGACACCCATCTATAAGAAGGGTCAGAAGGATGATCCAGGAAATTACAGGCCTGTCAGCTTGACTTCGGTGCCCGGGAAGCTGATGGAGCAGCTCATCCTGAGTACCATCACACAACACATGGGGGACAACCAGATGGTCAGGCCCAGTCAGCATGGGTTCATGAAAGGCAGGTCCTGCTTGACAAACCTGATCTCCTTTACGACAGGGCAACTTGCTCGATGGATGAGGGAAAGGCTGTGGATGTAATGTACCTTGATTTTAGCAAGGCCTTTGACACCATTCCCTACAGCATTCTCCTGGCAAAACTGGCTGCTCGAGGCTTGGATGGGCACACACTTCACTGGGGAAAAAAATTGTCTGGATGGCCGGGCCCAAAGAGTTGTGGTGAAAGGAGTTAAATCCAGTTGGCGGCCGGTCACGAGTGGTGTCCCCCAGGGCTCGGTGTTGGGGCCACTCCTGTTTAACATCTTTATTGATGATCTAGACGAGGGGATCAAGTGCACCCTCAGTCAGTTTGCAGATGACACCCAGTTGGGTGGGAGTGTTGATCTGCTCAAGGGCAGGGAGGCTCTGCAGAGAGACCTGGACAGGCTGGAGCCATGGGCTGAGGCCAACTGGAGGAGTTTCCATAAGGCCAAATGCCGGGGGATGCCCTTGGGCCACAACAACCCCCAGCAGCCCTACAGGCTTGGGGAGGAGTGGCTGGAGAGCTGCCAGTCAGAGAGGGACCTGGGGGGGTTGATTGACAGCCGGCTGAACAGGGGCCAGCAGTGTGCCCAGGTGGCCAAGAAGGCCAATGGCATCCTGGCTTGTGTCAGCAATAGCGTGGCCAGCAGGGACAGGGAAGGGATCTGACCCCTGTACTCGGCACTGGTGAGGCCGCCCCTCGATTCCTGTGTTCAGTTTTGGGCCCCTCACTACAAAAAGGACATTGAATGACTCGAGCGTGTCCAGAGAAGGGCAACGGAGCTGGTGCAGGGTCTGGAGCACAGGTCCTACGGGGAGCGGCTGAGGGAACTGGGGGTGTTTAGTCTCGAGAAGAGGAGGCTGAGGGGAGACCTCATTGCCCTCTACAGCTACCTGAAAGGAGGTTTCAGAGAGCTGGGGATGAGCCTCTTTAACCAAGTAACAAGCGATAGGACAAGAGGGAATGGCCTCAAGTTGTGCCAGGGAAGGTTTAGACTGGATATTAGGAAGCATTTCTTACCAGAAGGGGTTGTTGGGCGTTGGAATGGGCTGCCCAGGGAGGTGGTGGAGTCCCCATCCCTGGAGGTGTTTAAGAGTCGGGTTGACATAGCGCTGAGGGATCTGGTGTAGTTGGGAACGATCAGTGCTGGGTTAGCGTTTGGACTAGATGATCTTCAAGGTCCTTTCCAACCTAGTTGATTCTGTGAAATTTCATTTATGCTGTGAGGGCCTTTTAAGATCTTTTTCACCTACTCCTACAGTACACCTTAGCAAAGTCCTCAAAACCAGGTGGGATATTGAAGATGTAGGAAAGGCAAAATCTAACATTTTCCAAAATAAGTTTTAATTCTTAAGTTATTGTTGCAACAGCTAACAAATAGCCTGCCTTTCCAAAATGTCAGGGGCCACATGTTTCACTTACTTGGCTTCACCATTAAAGGACATGTTCATGTGATTCTTGTGGGAGCAACTGATGACTAAGCCTCTATTTTTTGATAATGTGATATGAAGTTTTGAGCAGGCCCTGAAGTTGGATTTATTACTTCGGGACATTCTCTCTAGTGACTTAGCGATCAGAAACCTCTGAAAAACAGGGTGCTTTAGTTTAAAAGTGAAATTAGGTCTCTGAGTTATTTTAGGAAACTCTAAAGCCTTAAATTGTCCCAATCTCCTTTCTTTACCCTATATATGGAACACAATTCCTTTTTTTTTTTTTCAGAGAGGAAATTTGTGGAGAACAGAATTGAAAGAGAGTGTGGTGATGGACTCATAACAGCATGCTACAGACAAGACCAAGATACATGCGAGGGAGATGGCGAGGAGGAACACCTCTACACTTTTGCAAAACTGGATGAATCTGTGTACGATTTCATACTGGCTGAGGAGGAGGAAGAGAAAAGGAAAGAACGCAGGTCTTTTATCATGAACAGGCCACCAGCACCTGCCCCTCGTCCCATATGTTCACTGGTCAGAGAGGAGAACACTCCTTATATAGTACAAGGTTAGTGCTGCTGCTTTGTAAATATTTGCTGGTAGAATATAGATGTGTCTCTTCTATTTGATGACAAATATTTTTTTAAAAGCCTCAGATCCTTGTTAAGCTACTTTCAAACCAACAAATTGATTGATTCAGCCAACCTCTTCTCACCTTTCAAATAAACTGAGAACACCTCTGACTAATGTTCATTTTCAATTTGCATCTCATATAGCATCATTTTTTTTGTTTAATTTTACAGAAATTATGACAGTATGATGGAAAACTAAGAATTACTGAGCTAGCTGTGAGTGTGTCTCTTTTAATGTTGTGATATAGAATATGCTATTTGAGTTGCCTTTCAGTTTCTTTATCAAAATGTTTTTACTTAATTCTAAGAGAGAGATTTTAGCCATTTTTTTTCTGATGAGAACAGTAGGGAGAAATACTTGTGTGAGAACTCCTCTTTCAGATAGATATCCTTTCTGCAATGCAAAATGCTAGAAAAGGCCACTTGAGGGAGGATTATGTCCAGTTACCATTTGTGTGAAAACTGGAGGACATTTTTGCACTTAGGAAATGTAAGGCTGGAAGAGTTTTCTGGTATCTTGTTCAATTTACACTGAAGCTAAATTTCAAAGCAATAAAAGGAATTGCATTGAATCTACTGTGGAGATGTCTGTGTAAGCCCCAAATCCATACTGCCTGCTTTTCCAGCCGCCTCTACAAAATTCTGCTACTGAGTAAGAATATGCGTAAGAATCAATGGTAGAAAACCAGGCTGAGAAAGAATACCAGTAGATTGCTTACTCCATCCAGCGGGTGGTTTGCACTAAAACAGGATTAATACTACACAAATCATCCTACAAAATCAGAGGAGCACCTCTTTTTTCATACCTATTTCAGCCAGTGATTTATTTTATTCTTCCTAGCCAGTTCTCTTCCTCCAGTCTGTATAACTCCACCTCAGGGCCAGAATGCATGAGTTAATGCGTTCATCATTTAGTTGCTCTTCCTTCATCATGTTCAGGAGGTATAAATAAGACTCATTATAGTAGTCAAAGTATAATCCAAGAATGGATGTGTATAGAGGGCCTGTTACAACTACAAATGTCCTGAAATGGCTGCTCTTACTGAGATTGCTAGAGCAGTATCTCAAATCTCAGTCCATCATCATAGACAGGCCAGTGACTTGAAAACCCTTACCATGAAGATGCGTTATTTGGGAGACTGCTTTTACTGTCTTTTATTGCACTAGAGTGTTTCTGCATTGTCTACCCGAACTGTTCGCTAAGGAAGAGACTATCAGAGGAACTGCTTTGATGGGGCTGTGGTTCTTTTACACAACCTATGTATATACACATGCGTGCATCCCCAAGGTTTTTAGCTTTGCTTTTATAAGCAGGTAGTGATAGACAAGTTAGTTTCCTGTTGTCTTGTGAAATCAGCCTCTGGCTGAAGTTCATTTACTTACACAATAAATGAAAAAAGTGGGAGTGCTTCAAGAAAGCTTCACTTGATCACACAAGCCTCTGTTTTGCCTGGCTGTCTTGCTAGTTTCAGATCTGGAGTTTCTCACTCTCCTGTTTTATGCAGGCGTTCCTGAGATAGACAGTGACATTTTAGACAGAAGATTTTTCTTGCTACTTGGATTGGCAATTTTCATCCTTCTCCACAGGGGCTGAAAAATTCTTCATCCAGTCCAGCAACATACCAGTTTCCAGTTTAATATATTAAAACTGTTTATAATCAGGGGAAAAAAAAAATTTAGCTGTAAGAACCAGAAAATTTTATCCCAGTCCATCATTAAAATCTGCATATGTTTGCAGCCATTGCTTTATAATTTAATTGGTGTAAATTAAATTACTCTGGCTAGTGTGTACACACATTTTTCATCTCTCAAATAAATTAGTGATAGTTTCAGATTTTGTTTTCATATGTTAAAAAGAGCATTGTGGAAGTTGCAAAGCCAGATAATCAAGAAGTTAGAATTTAGGCTAGTTATGCTGTTATACTACTTTCTCCCTGCCACAAACATTACAGTACAGTCCTTGAGTATATATCCATGTGCTGCTATTTATCACAGATACTTTGTTTCATCTAGTGTTTAGAGTGGGTGAGCATAAGATGCAAAACTCTTCAGTGCTTTTCATTCCCATTTCTGTTTAAAATAGAATTCATGCCTGCCTTAGGGTTCAGTGTGTTGTTTCAGACCCTTATGCAGTAAACTTTGTTCTGTATCCATTGGTTTTTTGAATGCCCCGTACAAAGTAACTAATCTTGAGATTAACAGCATTGTATAATACTGCATTCATTCAGAGCAGAGATCCCATTTATTTCAGTGGCCACTACGAGTGCTTAGAACTTCAAACTAAATCATTAGTGTTGTCCAGTCAGCACCCTAATGTCAAGGATTCATGAGCTGGGTTAAATAACTTGTCTGGGGTTATGCTGGGGCTTTGTTGGAGAGAGAAGTCCTGTTCAAGTGAATTTCCATGAAAGCTTTCACCACACATCAAAGTCCATGAAGTTACAAAAGAGTATCTTCTTTAAACAAAAGCAGCAGTGTTCCATGAGACTAGCAACAAAGACAGTGAATAGGTAGACCTTTTTGCAATTAAGTAGCTTTGAAATATATGGAAGCTCAAGTTTACACCAGGTAAAAAGCCTGCTCTGTGTAGATTACCACTTGGTGCTCTGCAGAATAGGATAGTGGAACTGTTGATCTACAAACATGGAACTTCACCAGCCTGTTTTTAGAGTCTCTTTCAGAGCAGGGTTCACACTTCAAAACTTAGACAGTAGACACTCAGAGATGCAAGTTGTCCTAGCTGAACTACTGCAATTTACAGTTTGAGCATTGAACCTGAATTTGCTGACAAATAAATTCTGGGAAACATGAGCAGGTTGCAGGATTTAAAACATAGCGTTCTCATCGCTTTTACTCAGTTTCAATTATTCTATTTTCAAATTTTAATGAACTTCCAAACTGCTGGCTTGAACACTGCTAAACGTACTGCATCTTTAACAAACAGAGTACATTTGTTCTTTAATTTAGACCACTGCAAGAATTCTGCCTTCTGTGTGAAAGGCTCATCAACCAATGGAGCTGCAAATTGGTGCCAAATAGCTTGTTGTCCAGATGGCGTGCACTCTTACTGTGCTCCCTTTCCATTCCTGAAGTGCTTAGTATTCCTCTGTAGGTTATTTTGGTGTTTTTTCAATTGTGTGCTGCCAAAACAACTGTTAAATAAATGTATGAAGGTGATGTGTTTTCAGTTTACAGTGCAATTTTAATGTTCCGTGTTGATACCAGATTTGGTTGAGCTGGCAACCGGGGTCCCCCATGTATTCTTAGGACAGGTGCATGACTTTCTGTAATGCCTCCCTACCATTTCTGAAGTCTGACCTACCAGGACGGCCTCAGGGCTTAAGGAGTACATTACTGTCCTGGTTTGATCATTCACCTCTTATCAGAGACCACTAGTCTAAGAGGGGTTCTCTGCAGCAAGAACACGTGTCCTACAACAGCATAAATAAAACTGTACGCTATAGCCTTTGTTCCTTTGCAAACCTCTCCCAAATCCCTGAAGGAATGCATTTCCCCTCTGTGCACTGGAAACATTTTACTGTTGAAAGATGGCTGTCTGTGGGACTTCACACTAGGGTTAAAAGCAGAAAAATATGTTTCCCGGTTACTATCCCAGAAGAGAATAGCATTCTCATTGCTCATCAAAATCACAGCGTATGCAGAAAAAGTAGCAGCCAGTGAATATCTTTAGGGAGGCAGAATAGCTCATGTACAGAATAGACAAATCCAAATGAAATGAAAAAACAAAATCCAGGACAGAACTGTTAGTGTCTTGGAAAATTATCAGGCTGATTACTGGGAACTATAGTGATTGCATCTTGAGTTAATAATTCTATTATGCAGATTGTTTAAATGCTCTAAAGCAGGGGTTTCCAAATTGAAGCCTCAGAGCCCATGCAAACTGCAAAGCATTTATGTCCCACAGAGGGATTTTGTAGTACTCTCCTACAGTGAGCATAAAGTACTGCACTGCAGATGAATTTCGCTATATATCCTCAACTTAAGGGTGTTTTTTTTCTGTTAATAAAATACTAGGAACCACTGGCAGCTATCTTGGAGCACTTAGACTGTTTTTATACACTGAGTTGGGAAGTGTTATACTGGCTTGATCCACTGTATTTATTCAATCAGATTTTTTGCTATCTCAACTTTGATAGATTGAAACAGCTACTGAATAGGGTGCACAGAGAGAAAATATTTATAGGATGCTGCCTGGTTGAAAAGCAAACTGTTCTAAATAGCGTATTTCAGGTAGAATCAGATACAGAGTCTTCCCCTTTCTGCTTTTCTCTACTAAAGGAAAATGGGACTGCAGAAATATATTCAGGTTTTACAAGCTGCAGCAAATATTCTTGAGTATATTGCAAGAGTCCTTCCAACTTCCATAATTCACTACATTAAATTTCTGACAAGAGCAACAGTGGGAGACTTCACTGTGTATGGTTCAGCAAGTACATTGGCACTGCCTTCTGAACAGCATCGTAAACTAACCGCTGGTACCTATTCTTCTTGCTCGCTCTTTACCCCTTCTATAAAAAGGGGTTCTGGTATTACTTTTATTATCTTGTTTCAGCGTAGGGAAGTCATCTCCTGTGTAATTTCCTGAGGTCCCTCCCTGACCAGGGTTGCTAGAATTCTAACAGATTTGAGCTCATATTTGAGAGATTCAGAATCTCACTGCAAATTATGAAGAGAATTGCTGGTGAGCATGTGTTTATTTTTGGATTATTCTTTTTACATTGTCATTACACTGTGATTCTTTTTAAAGTAATTTTACTTTTGATCTGGGAAAACTGATTTTTCAATCTCAACTGACTCATTATGTGGAAGTGGAAGGTAGAGGCTGACAACAGCCTGTGTAAGTTGTGATGAGTGGATGTGATGCTGTAGCTGAAAAACTCAAACAGCATGCGTTAGGACACTGCAAATAGCGGAG